TTAAACACAAACAAAAAATAAAAATAAAACAAATTAAGGCGATAAATCATTGGTTTCCAAATAAAATATATAAAATTTAAATAACAGTGACAAGATCAAAATAAGGGTCGACAAAAGGTTATTATTTGCAAAGGGACATAAAAGGAAAAAAATATTTTTATTAAGTGGATGGATAAAAATTTTAAGTGGAATTCCCGTTAGAATATTACTAGTTATTCATTCGGACAAAAAAACCTTTTCCGCCACAAAATTTAAACATCGACACATTTGCCGAAATGAATAGGTAATACCACTCTAGTAGTCAATTATATTGAAAATAAAAAACCGTTAATAAAAATTCAATACAGATTCATAACATCTAGATGTACACATCCCACAACTTGCAATACGTTACACATAAAATAAATGTTCTAACAAAAGTTAGACAAACTTACCAATCAAAAATCGATTAAGCTTTACACATAAGACGTTTTATGAAGTTATGAACTATAAACCAAAATGATTTGCACTAAAAACGTGACCATTATCAAATTTGACCTGAACAACAAATGATCGATTTTAAATCCCAACCCATAATTCCTCAATAAAGAAGATGAGAAACCACCAAATCATCAATAAGCTTAAAAAAATATTTGAAAATAGGGCAAAAAAAAAAGTACTTTAAAAAAAAAGTAAATTAAAGTTACCCGAAAATGTCCACTAGGTTGTGAGAATTGCAAAGACAGATTGATTTACAACACAATATTATTATGATAAATAGCAAAATGTATGCCTTAAACCTAGTTAATATTATTTTTATATTTTGTATACAATATCAAACAAAATTTAAATTCTTGGGTGTTGAATCATGTTTTTAGATATTAAAAAAGAGCATATTACAAATTTATTAATTACTTGGTAGAAAAAAAACAAACAAAACCAAATTACATTTTTAGCCACCAAAATCACAGATGGACTAAACCCATTTACGAATTTAACAAGACATCGGCAAACCTACAAGTCACTAAAACATAGCCATGCTTTAACAACTTTTTTTGTTGTATAAAAACCTCATTTGTATGCTTAAAATATAAAAACCTTATTTGTATGCTTAAAAACGCAGATGGAGCCCATCTACGAATTTTGGGTCTTCGTTTTTTTCTTATTTTTTATTTTGACAAATTTTAACTACTAAACAAACTTATTATATACAAAATTTTGAAAAAAACTATCATTTTATTTGTTATTTCTTTAAAAAATTTCGTAGTTAAACTCTATAAATTTCATAATCAAAATTCAAAAAAAAACCCCAAAAACACAATTTACATGAGTAAATAAAGTTAGTTCATCTATGATTTTAAGCATAAAAAAAATTATACAGCAAAGAAAAAATCATCTGTGGACATACAAGACGCTAAAGCACAGGTAAACATACAAGTCACTAAAAAATCATCCATAGACATACAAGTCGCTAAAGCACAGGTAAACATACAAGTAGCTAAAGCACAGGTAAACATACAAGTCGCTAAAGCACGGCTATGCTTTAGACTTATAAAGCTCGCAGATAGGCTTAGTCGATCGACGATTTTGGTGGCTAAAATAATTTGGGTGTTTTTGTTATTTTCCAGAAAATAATTAACATATTTGGCAAATTTTACAATTTTTTCATTAAAATAGTTTTAAAAAGTTTATTTAATATTAATATTAAATATTTAATACTTAGTTTAGGGTGCTAAGTGTGAGAGGTTACATCAGAATGTATTTAATTTTCACAATGACGGGTGTGGATGGTTATGCCAATAGTATAATAGGCACCATCTTTGGAACAAATAAATCATACATGAGCAGATGATTCAGCATTATTATTTCAATCTAGTCGCTAAATATGTATGCTTATTTTGTAACATCATTATTCCAATAATGTTGTACATGTAAATCATATTCTTTTTTTAAATACTATTATTAAAAGCTTTTTTTCTAATTGCTAGAGTTTGGTTAAAACTTTAATACTTTAAATAAACAAACGAAATCAAAAATAAATAAATAGAAATTGGATCAGATTTCTGGCTTGGATTCTCTCGATAGAGAGAATTTAATATTTGCGCTCAGTATAATCAACTTCGATCATCTGGGGAAATAGTCATCATTTCCAATTTTATGTTCATCGTAAGAAAATATACAAACAAATATAAAATTTCTTGACAAAATAAACAGCTTTTCCTAAACAAAAAATAAACAAAGATATGGATCAGATTTCTGGCTTGGATTTTCCTCCGAAAGGAGAAAAATTAAAATTGCGCTCAGTTATTTCAAATTCGATCATCTGGGGAAATAATCATCATATCCATCATCTTAAATTTTTAATTATAACACAATAAGTAAATGTTCTTCGCATCCGAAACAAATTTGGATGAAATTGAAACCAAAAAATTTCAGAATACGAAAAAATTAATATCGCATCGGCTCATACACAACACCTATTGAATTAAAAGAGAGCTGGTAATCAGTATTTTCGATGCAAATTACAAAAGTTGAAGAAAAAAACACGAAAAAATATACTACGTTTTTTATTAACATGAAAAATCGTTTGGAAATTTGAAGTTTATGACATAAAATGCATGTAACCCTTAATGATTGTAGATAGGCTATGAAAAAAAATCCTAACTTGATAAACACAAAGGGAAAATTTGGTATTGGGTGCTGGATTCAACACTATGGCATTAAAGTTAAAGCCAAAGAGTCAAACTTCAGACCCTTCATATTTCATATGATTCAGAAAAGAATTAAAGAAAATCTTGTTTGAATTGAAGAAAACAGAAAGAAAGAATGTGATATTAGGTGAATAATCGAAGCACTCAGGATGAAAAGGACTTGTTGATATAAAAAATCAAAGATCATTCGATCTCAATACAACATACTCATCATCGTGCGAAATTATTATACAGCTAAACCTTAGAAAATGTAGGATTTTTGTCTAGTGTGGAAAAAATAGCACGTGAAAAAACAATTAATCAAGTAACGAAGAACACTCAGAATGAGTAGGAGGTTTGTTATTCCATTCATGAATTTTTCGGAATAATTAAACAATCATCAACATGTTCTTCTAACTACAGCTTCGCACACAATATATGGAAATTGGAAAGAGTAATGAACATGAAATCAATCTCAAAATTGCGAACATTCAGAATGAGTAGGAGGTTTGTAAATCCATTCATGAATTATCGGTAGAATTAAACAATCATCACCATGCTCGCCTAAGTAATCGATTTCACATGTAGAAATTTTGAAATAGAAAGAGTAACAGAGAAGATGAAAGAAAAACCATCAGAAAAAATGGATCAATACATCAATTTATCACAGTCCTACAAAAAGACGTGACTTCAGACGACCGTCGTGAGATGTAATCCTAAATCGTCATTTGGATTTGAAATCTATAAGCTTAAAACAGAAAAGAAAGAATGAATTGGGAATACCTGATAGGCTTTAAAAACCCTAAAATATGCATTGATGGAGATGAATTGCTTTGACGATGGCAGGAACAAGGAAGAGGTTGTTTATAAAGGAAGCATTGACTCGTAGTTAGGGTTTCATCGCCCCCTTTAAACTGAAATCGTACTAAAGCCCACAATATTTTCTGTTGGGTGACCCAAATCTCAAAGGCCCATTCAATAATGCTTCCGATTATCTTTTTTCTTTACACATATTTCAAAATGGAAGGTAATGATTTTCTTTTACAAGGTATAGTAGTATTATTGAGAAATTAATTTAATTTATAAAACTATTATATTTTACAAAGTATAGTAGTATTATTGAGAAATTAATTTAATTCTAGGTATAAGTTAGAAACACTAATGTTTGGCCTTGACAATTTTGGCCCAATGCTATCTACATAACCATTTTTGCCCCCTCTACCGTCATGTCGTCCAATCAGATGCTGCACCAAAACAGTAACATGGGGTTACGTGTTTCTTTCTTATGTTTTCCACTGCCTTCATCTCGATCTCATGTAGATGGTGCAATAGATTGAGATCACTTCACTGGAAAGAAAAAAAGTTATAGATATATGTTGCGGAGGAGGTATAATATGTTATGGAAAACTCTTTTTCTTATTTGGAATAAATTATAGTTTTCGTATTCTACATGTAAGTAATCATTTTAATCGCAGATTAGATCATTTCTTTAACAATTGTTGATAATTTATCACGACTTATGACAGGGTTTTTATAAAATGCAATAGGAAAGTGGGAACCGATTTTGCAGCAAGTTCATATCAAGGCTCGGCTATCTTAACCGGTAAATAATTGTCAGTTTTATCTTTTTTTTGTCAGAATGTAAGTAATTTGTAATTTTATGTAGATACAATTGACTTTGATAATAAACATTAATAATTTTATATAATTACTATATTTTTGGTTTTTTCATCAAAAAAAAAAGGACGGAGTTGAAAAATTCTTTCCACCATAAACTCAACACTCATCATTGTCATCTCTTTCTATCTACTCGTTACCTTGTCTCTCGATACCAGAAACCCTAACATCATTGCACCGTCACCCACATTCAAACAAGGTTATGTTTATATTTCTCTTTATTGCATGAATGTCTCCGATATTTTGCATAACAATCTGAAATATCACCTTCTTTATATCTCTTTCATCGGTGTGTACATAGTTACACAACTTGTTGGTGTCAATATTAATCATTTAAAATGATAATAATTAATCCTTTCGCATTTGCATGCATATCATAACAATACGATCGTTACTATTTACTCGACACTCATGACTCATGGGTTCACTTTTACCTTAAGTCACATTCTTTTAACATTTAAATATGAATCTTTTTATTGGTTTTGGGGCTAATTGAAAAATGTTTATGTATTGAAGCAACGAATCTTGATGACAATTGTTATATATAACTTACTTTCAAGAAAAGAACAAACTTTACTTTCTAATCAAACTTGATTAGATACATAGAGTTTCAAAGTCATAGATTTTGTGATTTAAGTGAACATATGTTTAACAATGGAGAAAAAACACAAGGATATATGGTCCCAAACTAATCCTGAAACACTTAAAAGGTCCATTGACAAGGCACTAATCTTGAATCAATTTTTTAGATTTAACTCGTCTAACAATAATATTCTAAATATTTAATAAAACATGCATGTCTTTAAAATTTAATAAGTATAAATGTTGTATTAGTAACACTAAAACATAAAACTATCAAATTAAATAGATGTTGGAGAGGAAACATGAAACTTGATTGCAAATGAACTTCACATGATCTTGAATCAATTTTTTAGTTAACAGTTGGCATGTTGAGGCGTAGAAATATCTAACTAATGTAGGCATCCATATGTTAAACATAATAAAGTTAAATTAATATTCGTAATTGATCCAATAAATTGGACAATTTGAGAAGTTGTCACTAACCATGGGACTAATCAAACCTATTGAGTTATTGCATAATATAAATGAATAAATTGAGGCTAGTGAGGTAAAGAGCCGCAACTTAACTAGCCTTGCTGAACAGTCAGTTCCCGATCCTGTGAACCCTGAACCATCTTTGGAAATCCCTCCTTCATCTACTTTTCATGAATGTCCCATAATCGACTCAAAAATCAAGCTTGTTGAGGAGTCTCTTTTGGGATATACTAATGATGCTGTTGATTCTAAATCCATTTCTGATTTGAATCTCGAAAAACCACCCTCTGGGTCGACTATTGAATCTCTTGTGTCGAGTAAAGCTCCAAGTCATTTGTCAATTGTTGTTGTTTTTGAACAAAAATTGTTTGGGTCTAGTTTTGGTCAATCTCAATCGGTTGTTATAGAATCAGCAGTGATTGTCGTGAATCCACTTCCATTAGGAACTAGCACTTATAATAGTACCACTCTGGATATTCCCCTGATTATTGTGGACGTTGTTGGTCATGGTGCAACTCTGGATGCTCATCCAAAAACTTCCAACATGGATTGTATACTTCCTGCTCCGCTTGTTCTATGTTTATATATATATATATATATATAATATATATATATATATATATATATATATATATATATATATATATATATATATATATATATCGATACATATGTGTATTTGATAAAATGGTGGTTTGATGTAGTGATCCCTTCATCCGGGAGGCAGGTCGAGATGCCTATGTTTGTTACTCTTGCCCTTCACTTCCTTAATTCGAACGTCCTTTTGCTGCAACCATTATACCCAAAAGTTTTGAACCAGAAAGTGCCTCTGATGAAAAAACTCTTGATAGAGCCCGATCTTACTTGATGGAGGGAATGCATTTGCTCAACGAGGTATCTTCATATACTAAGGCACAAACTGAATTTCTTGCAAGTCACTAGCTTAAGTTCGAAGAGGGTCTTTAGGGCTTGAAACAACTTCGAAAGATTCATGACCAAACGGAGGCAGAAGCAAAGGAGCTGCGTGAGAAGGTGTCAGTATTATCTGAAAGGAACCAATGTCTGGTTCGTGATTTGAGTGAGAATTTGGGTTGTCAGGAGGAGTTAAAAATGTTGAATAAGGATCTACAGTTGAAGAGTGATGATGCGATCAGCCATCGTGTGGCTGCAACCAAAGAGCTTGAAGAAGTTTCTCAACAATTTCAATCGCCGAAATTGCAATATATTGAAAAGGTGTCGCAACTAGAGATTTCTTGTTCGGGAAAAGATGTCAGTATTAAATTTATTGAGGAGTAACTAGTTGTTGCAAAAGATTTGGTATTGGAAAAAGATACCCAAATTGCTTCCTTTGGTGAATCGCATTCTTTGGTGAATCAAGGTATGTTGCAACCCAAGATCCTAATCCCCAAGGAGCAGCGCCCTCAATCCATAAACCCCAAGGAGCAGCACCCTCGATCTTGCAACCCAATATCCAACATCAGGAGGACAACAACACAATACTTAAGGAAATGGAAAGAATGAGGGCGAGATCCATAAACCCCAAGGAGCAACCGTCACATCCACGAACCGATAAAACGGCAGAAACGTCTGGGGGCGGATGACGTCATGTACATTATCATAACAATTGAATAATAGAGATCAAAGCATTACAACCATAATATTGATAATTTAACGTTTACATTGAGTTGGTTTCATTGTTTGTTCGACTCCCAAAAATATACGACAAAATATATGACATGACACTGCAATGCTCCATCTTCACAAAACCTGTGTGGGTACCTGTCTACTGATTTCCTGAGAATACAAGTGGTTTTGAAAAAGTGTCAACATTTAAGTTGGTGAGTTCATAAGCATTTTGTATGAGAAAGATATGTCATTATTCCTTGAAAATGATAGTGTGTTCATCCAGAAAATCCAATATTTTCTTTTAAAGTGATTTGTAGTCTTATGAATCCAAGACTGAAAATGTATAAGTATTGCTGTACTTTGAAGTAATATAATGTAGTTTTATATCTTTATAAAACCATTTGAATGCATGATTCCAGAAATGTAGACTGTATTGCACTGGAGAATAGTGTAATGTAGTTTTATCTAAATAAAACTAGTTGAAGATATGTATGTATTCAAAAACAAAACGTGTTGTTATTACCCCTTTGAATGCATGTATTTGGAACTACCATTTGTACGGTAACATAGTGTATGGTAGTTTTATTATTAAATAAAACCATTTGAATGTAAGTGAGCCCCGTAAACCAAATGTTTTGTTAATACTTATTGTGAGTGTTATTATAACCATGCTAACGATTAGTGGCATACACGACGTTCTTCAGACATCAGAATGGTACGACATTTGTCACCCCATACCTTCCGGTCTAAATGTAGCTAACAGTTTAGGTGCGGGATTGTCAGTCCCGTATAGATCTATACACAAGTGTCATGCTCTCCCTAGAAGAGACTTTGGTTATAATACAGGACTTTAGCGTGTACTCGGGAAAGTATGTGAAGATAGTGTCTCACAACCTTGTATAAACCGGTTTACGTATAGTGTAATGAAATTCCTTTTTATTGTAATTGTATGTATTACCCTTTCATAGTGTTCACATAGTGTGAAAATAATTATTCTCTCAAAACAATTATTTTCATTGTCCCCAACATTGTAAAATAGTGTGAATGTTCCATAAACTATACCTATTATAGTTTATATAAATGTTTCATTGAAATAATGAATCGTTTGTATGTTATTATCAATTTACCATGATAAAAAAATGAAATGAAATAATTATATATGTACGTTTATATAATTATACCCTTTTTGCTCAACATGTTACAAAAGAGTTATTGTAATCAAATTTATACCCGTGTGTATATATATATATATATATATATATATATATATATATATATATATATATATATATATATATATATAACGGTTTGTATAATAACACAAATTTTCTTGTATTTTACTTGTATTCCCACCCTTAAAACATAGAAAAATCATGAAAACTGTAGGGGTATGAACTCACCTCGAGTGCGTTCTTGGCTGGATAACGAGATAAAAGCGATGATCTTCAAGTTATAATATGTGAACGTGTTCGTATCCTACGATTATTTAACACACGATATTGTGTGTAAATTAGTTGAATTAATATGTAAGTGTTACAAAATACTAGATTATATATTGTTGGATTAATGTCTAAGTCCATAACTATATTTGGTATGTACTTGACCCGACCCGGCATGGTCCATTTGGGTTGCACTTCATCGGCACAATTTATATGGATAGTCTTTTGAGAATAGTATATTTATGATTTATATTAATATATTATAAGTTCTAATATATTAATATGGAATCATATTATTTAATTAGTATTGATCAAGAATTAATTTAGAATTAATTAAGTGATAAAAAAGAACTAATTAAATATGGACTCTTATATATATGGAATGGGCCAAGTTCATTTAGGTTGGGCTAAGCTTTCATGGATGGTCCATGGAGCTTTTAACCCATGGATCCTATGTAAATGAAAGGTCATGGGTATTAGGGTTTACATGGATGTAACCCTAATCCTCCATAATATATAAAGGGGTCATTGGCTCACAAAATTGGCACAAGTGTGTGAAAATAAGAGTGGGCCGATTTTAGTGTGCATACATATTCTCTCAAGTTCTTCCAAGGTGTTTTGGTGATTTGTGATTCCATTTGAGGCTTCCACACTATGGGGCTAAGCTCTTAAAGCTTGAAGACATCAAGCTACATCAAAAGGTATGTCATCTAACTAGAACTTTGTAGTATAGGTGCTTCATAATATGCTAGTTAGGATGAAACCTTGGAATAGTTAATATTTGCATGTATAATAGAGAAAACATAGATCCAAGGTTTATAGGGTTGCATGTACACCATAGGAGTGTTAGAATGCTCAAAACCCAACAGTGGTATCAGAGCCATGGGTTATTTTCTGTTATATTGATGCAAATGTTTTATTTTCAAGTTGAAAAAAAGGAAAAAAACATGACGTTTGTCAAATTTTAAGATAATTACTTGTTTTGTGAAAAACGAATTATTTGTAAAATTTGAATCATTTGTTACATGAGTTGAATTAGGTCAAATTTAGTAAAAGATAAAATGATATGATTATTTATTAGTTTAAAAGTTTGATCTAAATGTTTTAAGGAGTTACATATTTTGTCATAAAATTTTGGAGCTCAAAAGTTTTTTTTAAAGTTGTGATCTTAAGGGTTTTTGCTTCCATAAGTTATGGATATGAAAGTTTTTTTTTTAAAAAAAAAAATTGATTCAAAGTTTTTATGGAGTTACAAAATTTGGTGTTAATGTTTTAAAGAATTCCATAACTTGTTCTTAAGTTATGGAACATGAAAAGTTTCATCATAAAACACCGTTAATTCCATAAGTTATGGAATCCAAAGGTTTTCAAGAATTACAAAACTTGCCCTCAAGTTTTGGAATTTGAGAAAAGTTTTTTATGAAAAAAAGAATTGAATTCTAAAACTCTTGGGTTCATAACTTAAACAATTAATTAAATGGTTTTAATTTTGAGTTTAATAATTGGAATTATGATGTTTTGTTGAATAGTTCAAATTAACTCTTATGGACTTTATTAATAGTTAATTAAATCGTTTAATTAAAAGAGTATTATTAATCCATAAATATATGGTTTGAGTTTAATTAAATTAAAAGTCTAGTTTAATTAATAGATTAAACCACCAAGTATTTTAAATGTCTAAAATACACCCTTATACTATTATAATATTAAAAGTTTAATATATTATATGTATAAGAGCAAGTCGTCTTACCATTAGTAGGCCTCATTCACGAAGCCGGTCTATAAGGGGGTATAAGGTTACTGCCTATAAAATGACAGTTTAATGGGTGTCCACTCTCACACACCGCTTCCTTGACCGGTGGAGGGTCGTTAGCCAAACAGGTAGGACAAGGACTATAATTCTCCCTTCATTATAAGTATAATGATAAATACTAAGTAACTAAACACTTATAAATTCCCAATCTTAGTTACTTAGGAAAATGTGAATAAGGGGCTAATCCATGAAATTACACTTTGCACTTTGTTTAAGCTGTTAGTGGAGCGTGTGTGGTTAACCGGCACACTAACCTGGACTTAACAAGGTAGGCAAAGGGTAACTTAATGTTTGTCATAGTATCGTTGGAGCGTGTGTGGTTAACCGGCACATCGATTGAGGGGTAAATATTAAGGGTACCAAGTATATTTGCATGGTTACTTCACACCTTGTTTTGTGATCCTCGGCATCCCAGTCACAAAACCTGAAGGGCACACTCGAGATTGAAACATGCCATTGAAAAGTTCAATGAATCTCAAAAGAATCTAGGAGTTTCAAAACCAATTAAAACCTAATAATACATTTCATTTATCTTGGTGGAAATTGGTGAATCGTCATTCACCTACCTTCAAATATTTTATAGCTTGGATTACGGCATCCCTCTTCCAAGTTATAAAATAGTTTGTTGGGTCCTAGCCTTAATATATCATATTGGGTGTTATATTAAGGACTTAAATCAACTTTACGTGAATTTCTCCCATTGTTGATGTCTGGTTTAGACAACAATGATCTTCCCAAACCAAGCTTTCCTAATGAATGACTTCTCGAGTTTGGCTCATGGAAGTCATACTTCTCTTCCTCCACCTCCTCCAATTATTCTCCCTAACCCACAAGTTCAAGGTCACTCAAGCCCTAATGGCAAGCAAGGTCTATGTGTGATCACATCTTAGAGATGAAGTCACATATTGACAAGCCGGGAGAGTTGGGTGTCAAAGTCTTGAGAAAGTTGGATGTTCAATCACTTTCTAAGTCACATAGTGAGTTCCTTTGGGACTACTATGAAACAGACTATGACATGAACCTTAATGATCATATCTATTTGCTTGGTGCTGTTGAATCAGCAATGATTTGGAACGATAATAAAGCAAATTTGATTAGAAGATCAACTTCCCAAAAACTTTATGGACAGTGACAATGGTGACACTGGAAATCCAGAAAAAGCATTCTCTTCCCAATGGAAAGGGATTGGCCATAGTCAACCCGGTTGACCAAATGGTAAAGAGAAAGGCTAAGTCTGAGATAGTCCCATTACCAAAGGGTCCATATGTTTATTTTGCCAAAGGAAGGGGCGTTGATTGCAAAGCTGCCAAATTTACCTAAGGATGTTAAAGTCAATAAGTTTGACTCTACATCAGGTAGAGCCCATTATCTAACTCTGTTAAGTTCTATTCTGAGATCCTCATTACATGATGTGACTG